CTGCAGCTTAATGTTAACAAGGAAGTCCTCACGCTCTGAACCGTGGAAGCTGAGCCACGAGTTGAGCTAACGAGCTGGCATGGGAGCTGCTTCGGCCAGTGAGGCCTGGTGAGTGCTACCGCCGCTAGCCGTTGGATAGAGTGAGAGGGCCTGGGGGTTGTCACAGCGAAGACACACTCTGCCACCGTTTGGACCGCGAGCAGCTGGAAACCGAGGGAGCCGAGCTGCAGCTGTCAGACCTGGGGGTTGTTGCAGCAGAGAACTGGTCTGCCGCCGATTGGACCTGCGAGCAGCTGAGGCCGAGGGAGCCGAACTACAGCTGTCGGATCTGGGAGCTGTTGAAACCGGGACCTGGTCTGTCACCGTTGGGGCTGCGAACTTCTGGAACGAGTGAATCGTGGTACCGCGTGGGACCCGGAGGTTGTTGCCGCTAGGCCTCGGCTAACAACATAAGCCTGTGAACCTCGTGGCTGGATCCTGTGCTTCTGAGAGTTGAGACCAATAATCCAGAAGTATCGTGAGTAATGCCGAGCAAACACAGAGATAAGAGATAAATGTTGGAAAATATTTCAGAAGATATGGAGGAAGTTAAAAAATCTTTGAACTTTTTGAGTGCTGAACTGACTAAATTGAGTGCTGAACTGACTAAATTGAGTGCTGATGTGACTAAAGTATCAGCTAAATGTGAATTACTGACAGGACTGTCTGAAGAAGTGAGACAATTGAAAGAACTGATGACTAATAAAGACAGAAAAATAGCTGAACTGGAACAGAAAGTAGATGACATGGAACAATACACAAAAATAGTCAACTTGGTGATCACTGGACTGGAAGTTAGGAAACGGAGTTATGCAAGAGTTGTTGCTGGTACTAACACAGCAGAAGATGCACCACAGGAAGAACTACAGGCTCTGGAGGAGCAAGTAGTGAATTTTTTACAAAACAAAGACATTGACATCGAACATGAGGACATTTCAATCTGTCACACCCTGCCCAACAAATCTGATAAAGCCAAACCATCCATAGTCATCAAGTTCATTAGCAGGAAATCAAGAAACAAGATAATAATGCAAGCAAAAAAACTGAAGGGAACAAATGTTTACATAAACGAACACCTAACTAAAAAAAATTGAAATATTGCACGTGAAGCAAGGTTATTAAAAAAACAGAAAAAAATAGCATCAACTTGGACAAGAAATGGAAACATCTGGATCAAAATACAGGAAGGATCTCAGGCTAAAATAATAAAAGACCTGAAAGATCTGGAAAGACTAAAATGAGCTCAGGAAATGACAGATGATAAATCATTGACATAACTTCACAAACAAGAAATTAACAAAATATAAAACAAACAAATACATTAAAACATGGCAACATACGAAGACTTAGAGTTTAAAATATACAATGTTGAAGATGCGATTGATACAATTTTTTTCCCTGCAATAAAAGACTGTGAATATTACAATGAAGAACAGTTTAATGACATCAATATAACGAATGGAGGTCTTTCTATTATTCACTTTAACAGTAGAAATTTAAATGCAAATATATCCAAAATAACAGATTATTTAAAACAGCTAAACAGAACCTTTACAATAATAGCACTGTCAGAGACATGGCTCAACGATGAAAACACAACTAATGTTCACATGGAAGGGTATGAATTATATCATGTGAACAGAAGCAACAAAAGAGGTGGTGGGATGGCTCTATTTGTTAAAAATGAAATAAAATGTAAGTTAATTAATGAAATGTCAATAGTTGTTGATAATATCATGGAAATAATAACAATAGAAATAATAAACAAGAATGATAAAAACATATTGATAAGTTGTGTATATCGATCTCCAGGATCAAATATAGAGATATTCACTGATAAAATCGTACAACTATTGGACAAGAGTTTTAATAAAAGCATTTTTTTCTGTGGAGACTTCAATATTGACCTGGGAAATAAAACAGATTCAAATAACATCAGTACATTTACAAATTCATTGTATAGTTTAAATCTTTATCTGTTAATATCAAAACCAACAAGAATTACAACTCATAGTGCTACAATAATCGATATTTTCACAAATGTAACAAATGGGGATGTGATGGGAGGTATTTTAATGAGTGATTTAAGTGATCATTCACCAGTTTTCATGATTTATAAAAATGATCAAAGCATTACAAAAGAAATCACAATTAAGGAAAAAACAATAAACACATCAAAAAAAGCAATGGACAAATTAAAAGATGATTTACATAAACAAAATTGGAAAGACGTGTATGTTGATGATGTGAACAGGTCATATGATGAGTTTATGAATATTTTGGGAGTTCTGTATGAAAAGAATTGTGTGCAAAATAATTGTACAAAGAGAAATGTTGTTGACCAACCATGGATGACGAAAGGGTTGAGAAATGCTTGTAAAAAAAAAGAATTATTTGTATACATGTTTCTTAAAATTGAGAACACAAGAGGCTGAAGAGAAATATAAGAAGTATAAAAATAAATTAGTAGTGATTATAAGGAAACACAAGAAGGAATATTATAGTGATTTATTAAATAAAAGTAATGGTGATATGAAAGCTACATGGCGAGTAATAAATAGTGTTCTGAAAAGTCATAAAGCAAAAACAGGTATTTCACAATATTTTTTGAAGGATGAAAATGAAATCCATGATGAAAATGAAATTGTAAATGGATTTAATCATCATTTTGTGAATGTTGGATCAAGCCTTGCAGCTAAAATACCACAAGTGGACAATAATGTGAACCATTCAGTTATAAGTTGTGACAACA